GTAGACGTGTAATTTAATTAATTAATAAGAAAACATATTTTGTAAGTTCTTCTAATGTTTGTGAGCAAAAAAAATAATTTTTAAAGTAACTGAAGCTGTCGGATAAACGCTGTGACGGTAAAAATACAGTTTTCATTCTGAGATTTAAACGAGCTGCAGAAGTGGCACAAGAAGAAAAAACTCAACCAAAGTGTAGTAAATTAGAATTTTTACAGCTTTTAAATCCACTTCAAGTGAATAAAAAAAACACAGAAAACAGCCGGACTGCAGTGAACTTTGTACAGGTGTATAATAATGATGTGGGTTTAATGAGGAGACTCACCTGGTTCAGGTGTTTTCAGAGCATCTGAGGCTTATTAACGGAGTTTTAAATGCAGACGCTTCATGCAAACTATTGTCAGCTGACAAAAAAATGCTCTTTAAAGCCAAGACTGCTTTAACTAATGCTCCACTTTTACAAAAATCTGTTTTAAACTTTTCTGCACTTTTATTTATTTGACACTTCATCCTTAAATCTGTGAATGTGAAGGTTTTCAGGCCGTTTTTATTTCTTAAACATTTTACCGCTCTGTGGAATCGATTCAGACACACCAGCCTTGTTCAGATAATCTTTAAATCCTCTATAGACTCATTTATGCTGCACACATTACTAACATTTTATTGTTTAACTGCTTTTTTTCTCCAGAAAAACATTAAAAAAGGCAGAAAATCACCCAGATCCATGTTGTTATTTTCCTGCACAGCTCAGTTCTCGTCTTGTTTGTGATATTTTTGTTGCATTTAATTAATTTTTCTGCTCCTGTAATGTTAACAGGAGCTCACATTAGTCCCCCAGAAAAACAGCATCTAAAGCTTTAAGGAGAGAAAATCACGTGCTGCAGCTCAGAGCAGAAAACTCCTGAACTTTAACAGACAAGAATGAACTTAGGCGAACGAATTAACGTCACGATAATGGGATTAACTTCTGATCTGAAACGAAAGGCCTCGACGCATCGACAGGCTGCAGCTCAAAGCGACACTGAAGCCTTCAGAGGACCGACGGACACGAAGCCGACAGAATTACTGGACAGATAAGACAGAAGGAGGAAACAGAAACTCAGCGTCTGTCCGTCAAAACTTGAATCTGTCAGACGCTAATGAGCAGGAAAGACAAACAGTTTCCAACAGCAGCAAGTTTCTGCACGTTCAGCGTCGACACACGTGAAAACTCCCGAGGCCACGTTTAGTCCGAGCTGCAGAAGATTTCAGTTCCTACGGCTCCAAGTGTTCGACACGTTTTAAATTCTGACGCTGCGACAAGCGGAAAAGCTTCGCTGGAGTAAATGACTAGAAATGCAGCCAACAGCAGGAAAAAACAAACAAACAAAACATCACAAAAGAATAATAGACACGCAACAACACGAGACACAAACAGAACACACAATGAGACCCAAAACTACACAGAGCAGCACAAGTCAAACACAAAACGATGCACAACAGGACAAACGGTTCATACTGTTCAGATCTGTGAGCGTTTAAAGCTAAAAACTACAGAATGCTTCACTGTGAGCATTAAAGCAGCTCAACGCAACAAAAATAGCCTCCGACTGAGTTTGTGGGAGTTTGTGTTGCTGGATGACGAGTTTCATGATCCTCCATCTGCTGCAGCTTCACAGGCCGCTCAGATACACCAGTTTAAACCAGCAAA